TCATCTCCATACGCGACATAGCTGGGCTGGATATCCATGGCTGCAGAAATATTTAGACGGTAGAGTTCTGCACGAGTCAACAAGGTCTACTCAACTTACAGAACACCATCGTCCGGTGTCTTGAAAGGGGCAATCCTAGGTTCGCTGTTCCTACTGTTCGCAAATGACCGTCCACTGCATTTCAGATTCTCCTTTAAGTTGATGACGTCAAGTTATAGAGAGCAGTAACGTGCGAAACGAATTTCAATGCATTACACGATGGTTTTGAAACACTCAAGCGGACGGAAAATAATGAATTGGCATCTGACCTGGATAGATGCTCGCCCATGTTTTTCTGCACTTCCAAACCACTGAAAGCATCACACTCTCCGTGGTTCACATCTCTCCGATACCACTGCGGGGAAAGACCTGAATTGAATTGTGACAGAGAAACAGGACACCAGCCCCAACCACCCAGACGTTTCAAAAGCATAAGACAGACTACACTTTGTGGGTAGATAACTGGGTGCCATCACCTCAGAGCTCTTTTGAAACTCTACGAGACCTACGTAGACCTCTCCTGGAGGCCTATGTCTTCACTTCACCAGGTCTGAAAAACGCGAACTTCTTCGGTAAAGTCCAGAAGTGAGCCACAAGGAGTGTTGTAGGGACGCACCAGAAACATACGAAGATAGACTAAAGGATCTAAGCCTACACGCTCTTGGTTACTGAAGTTTACGAGATAATTTCACAGTGGCTTAAAAATACTAAATAACCGAGGTCATCTGAACAGGGGAATAGTACCGAGTGCCCACCACGCTGATCCTCGTGGAAAGCCAGGGAGCATCGCCTTCCAAAAGTCAACTCGTGTGCATTCACGCTCCTCCTTACGAGTCTGCGGTCACTTGAATGAATTTCCAGCGGAAGTAGTCTCCGCCCGACTGGTCGACAGCTTCACAAGTAGGCTAAGCAACTACAGAGCCTATTATTATTATTATTAGTCCCCTGGGTTCCTAGTGGAACATAGGGCTTCAGTGGCACGCCTCCAGTGACCTCTGTTCTCTGAGATCTTTTGAACCTGGTTCCACGACAGCCCACAAGCTCTCATTTCCTCCTCGCACGACCTCCTCCATGTCACCCTCACCTCGGACACCCAACTCGTCGCTTCCCATGGGGATTCCACTCGAGCAACTGGCCTGACGCGTGATGTCCTCAGTCGGCCTTCTCAGTGCATGGCCAATCCATCTCCACTTCTTCCTGCATATTTGTTGCGTGATAGGTTCTTGGTTGGTTCGTTCCCAGAGTTCCTTGTTGCTTATTCTTTCTGGCCATCTGATCTTCAGTAGCCAGCCAGCGTAAGCAGTTGTTGATGAATGTCTGTAGTTTATTGGAAATCCCTTTCGTGACGCGCCAAGTCTCTGAACCATACAAGAGCACTGACTTGACGTTGGTGTTGAAAATCCGTATCTTGTTCCGCATGCTGAGTACAGAAGATCTCCACACTGGTTTCAGGTTAATGAACGCCTGTCTTGCTTTTCCGATTCTGACTTTGACGTCTTCTTCCGTCCCGCCTGTAGTTGAAACAGTGCTTCCTAGATAAGTGAAGGAGGTTACTTCCTTTAAGTTTCTCCCGTTGACGATGATTGGAATTTGTTGTTGTTGTTGTTGATGGTGGTGGTGCAGTATCTTCATCACTTCTGTCTTCTCTATATTCACCTGAAGTCCCGTCTTCGCTGCCTCTTCTGTCAACTTGTTAGTTTTTGCCTGCAGATCTTCAAGTTTATGTGGCATTAGGCACAAGTCATCGGCGAAATCCAAGTCTTCTAGGTTCTTTTCCGTCGTCCAGTGTATCCCCCTCTTCTCGTTGCCTACTGTTTGCTGCATGATCCAGTCCACCACAATCAGGAATATCATGGGGGATAGTAGGCAACCTTGTTTCACTCCTGTCTTCACTTCAAAGGCATCACTGAGCTTCCCATTGTGGATTACTTGTCTGGCATGTGGCATCTTCATATAGTTGTTGAATGAGGCGGATAAAGGTTTGCGGTACTCCGTAGTATTGAAGCAGTTTCCAAATTACTTCTCGGTCGACGCTGTCAAAGGCCTTCTCAAAGTCGATGAAGTTGAGGCAGAGAGCTGATTGCCATTCTATGCTCTGTTCTATGATGATGCGAAGCGTTGCAATTTGGTCTGCACATGATTTGTACTTCCTGAAGCCTGCCTGTTCCGGTCGCAGTTTTGAATCCAATGCATCTTTAAGCCTCTCCAGGATGATGTGGCTTAATATTTTACTTGGTTTGGGTGGACAGGAGAGTGATTCCGCGCCAGTTCTTGCAAGCACTCAGGTCTCCTTTCTTCGGCAGTTTGACAAGGTAACCCTTCTTCCAATAAATGGCCAGGTACCTTCTCTTCCCTCCACACCTTCTGCAATAGTGGTGTGAGCATGTCTGCTGTTGTCTCTGCATCTGTTCTCAGTGCTTCTGGCGGGATTCAATCTGGTCCTGCTGCTTTCCCACATTTCAGTAGCTTTATGGCGTTCAGGACTTCCATTTTCGTTGGGGGATTTATGTTCACTTGTAATTCAGCGGCCGCAGGTGGTATTTCTGGACGAAGTGCAGGTGGTGGTGGTGGTCGATTCAAGAGCTTCTTGAAGTGGTCGGCCCATCGTTTCCTCTGTTTCTCTTCTTCTGTAATTAAATTTCCTTCTTCATCTTTCATTGGTTTCATCTGTGTTGGTCTCTTACCTGATAGCAACCTGGTTATTTGATACAATGTCGTCAGGTCTCTCTTACCTGCAGCCTGTTCTGCTTCACTTGCCAGTGTTTCGTAGAAGTGTCTTTTGTCTTTGCGTGCACTCTTCTTCACTTCTTTATCCAGTGTTTTATACATTGTGCTCAGTTCCTCTCGTCGTTGAGCATCCTTGCACTGGTTTATCTTCTGTTTCACCATCCTCCTCTCCTCTATCAGCTTCCAGGTATCCGTCGAGATCCATTCCTTATCTTCTTTCTTCTTCCTTCCTAATACTGTTGTGCAGGTTTCTTTCCACATAGCTTTGAAAGCTATGTGGAAAGAAACTACAGAAACTACAGAGCCTAAGGTGATAAAAATGAGGGAGAAAAAGGTGACGGACGGGGAAAACCCAATGGTGAACAGAAAGGGAAATAAGGCAGGACTGAGACAAAACACCAGCGATGCCTGCAGCACCACGATTTGTCCCCATTGTTCCCCATGGCCTCTGTGTTCCTTCCCTTTTTCCCATTTATTTCCCGCGGCTCCCGTATTTGTTCCTCTATTCATCCCCATTTTTCTGTTCTATATTTGTGGTTGTACCTAAGCTTCCATAATTATCACGTACGCATATTCTTCGAATGACAAGACAACCAGTAAAAAAAGCGAGTTATAATTACAACGACACATTATACACGCAGTTTTTTAGGGCAATGGACATCACATAGGGCTTGTCTGAATTTTCTTTCCCCCTGACAACCTGTATCACTTGTGTGGTTAAAATATATATAATTAACTTCAGTCTCCATATGAACATCACCTGATTAAAAATTAACCTGCTACTTAACAAAGGATTAAAGGCGTTTATATGCACCAGCATTTCCAGTCACTTACTATGCATCATTTGCGGCTGTAACGCTTGCATACCATGTCGCACAAGTCGTGAAAATATGACTTCGTTGTTTCGTCCAAGACATTTCTCAAGTCACTCTCAGGCAAAGTGATTGATGAAAATCGACTTGCGACAACACCTAAGGGGGCATAATCAGTAACTGACTACCTACCCCTCATCATCTGGCATGACATGTCGAACGCACTCTTGGTCAGTCCCCTGGAAAGTATATTTGATCGCCAAAGTAGGACTAATAAATGTGGAAGTCATCACCCTGAGAGATGATCTTGTATCTCCCCGCAGTTTGCGTGCCACTTCTGCAGTCCACAGAATTAAAGCAATTTAAACAAACGTACGAATGCGCCACGAAACCTGTTATCTTCGAATGAAGATTCTAGAATTTGGACGTCTTCATCCGTGCTGAGTAGGGAGCGAAAAAAGAAGTCATCTAGGGACAAAGATGTGGTGTTTCCCCCTTCTTTATCAGCCTTCCATGAAGTTGACATTTGAATTAGTGTTTTGCGTACCTCCTGAATGTACTCTGTATGGAACAGATGTAAAGGTAACGGGGTACCTGTAAGCTTGCTGACATTAATCGTTATATTGCGGGTACCTTTCTTCAAGCCACTGTAGAAAGCTGGTGTTTAGTTAGTAAGTCATCTACATACTGTCAAGTATTGGTGCTGAAGTACAAACTGCTGTATGCTCCGTTGAAGGTCTGAGAGAATGACAATATATGTAATACTTAACCCGACACCCGGGGAAAATTTGCCGTCCAAAAAGTTAGTCATTGCATGTGTAGATAGTGTGTACTACAGCTGCATAGGGACGACGTTCATGTCAGCGTGACCCATGGTTTCTTCCTCTGTTTCCCTAGCAGTAAAATGAACGTGTGCATGGCAAACTTTACCGCTTCATCTTCGGAGAAGCAAGCAGGTTATCTTCGTCACATTGCAGCGCATAAACAGCCGCATTTCCAAAAACACATAGCTGTTTTTGTGTCTTTGAAAGGGGACCTGTCTTCTGTGAGTTTACTACCAGGTTAACTTACCACTTTCATGTAGTTTTCGACACTACTAGTGTCCAATCTGCTTGCGGATGCATGTTCCCCAAGATTATTTCAGATATATGCTCCGGAAGTGGGCACAGGTTATTGGGCAACGGCAAGCCGCTTGGAACAATATCCATGCGCTTTTTCATTGTCACATCATTGACACAGAAGTGACTGGTCAAAGACTGAGGCATGATTGCAGTTGCATCTACAGACGAGTGGCTGGATCTACTGCATTGGAATCCACCGAAGATCTGGAACCGTTCCACAAGACCAAGAAGCGAGCAAGAAGAAATCAACTGATTTACACAAGCGCGTTAAAAAGGTATTGGATATGATATTGGAACAACTTTCAATTTCAAGGCTGTTTTCGGTACATGTGGGAAATTTGAGTGAATTAGGCCACTGCCAGTAATTGGGCAGTTTAGTTATGATCGTGTAGGGAGTATTAATACTCGTTCCATAAACTGTGGGTCCAGCTTACGGCGTGTGAAGATTCCCACCATGAAACTGTCCTCAGTTCTTCGGTACAACAATGTGTGCAGTTGTAGATGGCAGACAAAACTTGTAATGTGTCTGCAACTTATATGCTACTTTATATCCTATTTCCCCAACATGAATTCATATTTCTGTATGATAGGAGGATACCTGCTCCCACCATATTTTAGGTTATGGACACTTCTCACCTTCTCTTTTTACAACTACTCGTTTATATTCATGCTCTTGGATATTTTGACCGTGTTCCTCATGGATAAGCTGTTGTCGAGTCCCTATAATTGGATCGAGCTACTTCGATTCAGTGTGCTAGTTAACATTTCATCTTCTGTCTGTATCACTTCCCTGCTACTTTTTGTTTCACTTATTATGTTTGATAAGGATATTTTGTTTTCGTATCCTATATGCGGTCTCATCGGACTTTTAGGGGAGTCACTGTAATAGGTCGTCAGATGATGTCTGATAAATTGTTAGTCGATTTTCCGCTTGGTAAAATACGCTATAAGCACATACCATTTATATGCACTTTGTTTTTCACAGTCTTATTCTGCACAGGTCTGTGCGGAGGTGTTTCTCTCTCTCTCTTTGTGACTGGAATCCTTATTGCGTGGACATACTTACGCTTCTTTCAAAGGCACAGCAGTGGCATGCACGGTGATGTGAACGATAGTTTCACCTTTGCTGGGTAAGCTTAATTCGATCCGTCTTTCTACCCTTCAGATTTTTTCCAAATCATCTGGGTCCACCCGTTTCGGTGTTGTCTGGTGCAGTCTTCAACGTGTTGGTTCGACTTCGAATGTGTAAGCCGCCTACGAGACAACTCTCTGTTCCCCCTTCTGTTGTTTCATTTATAGTGGATATTCATGACACAGCCCATTCCGTCAGCAGGTATAGTTATCTCTTGTTCATTATTGTTTTGCTGTTTAGCAATCACTATATCTCAGCAGTAAAACCTCAAAATTTCTATTTAGTCAGGGTTATATTTCTTGTAACAAATGATCAGAATTCAGTGACAGGAGCCTGGGGGTACCTCCCATATGGCTTTATATTATTCTGCTGGATCCTGAGTGTACACGTAGAATTCTTGTTTCTATTTATTCTACCTGTTTCCTCATATTTGAGCACAGTAACAATAATGCATCAGTATCGTTTCAGGACACCGGAGTCTCGTATTCAGCAATATGCAATGGCTTCATGGAATTGAAAACACTATGGCAGATGTCCCATTCGCGGTTACAGTGTCAATTCGGTCCTCATAACCTGCTATTTTGGAGCTCCTGACAGGCCTACCTCCCTCTAAATGTGGAGTGAAAATAACTGAAAACTAGACAGTAGGCTTATGTGCTGGGTATCCATCCATGAACTCAGTTGTTCAAAGTACCTGCACTCGTCATCGCCTGACTAATTGATATCGAAACCACTTCGTTCATTGTGTAATCGTTTGCTAATTATGTGTTATCTGAACCATCTCACCTTTGGCAGTATGTCGCATGAAACCAGTCTTGTTTTCGCTTAACCAACTGTTGTTGTGACAAAATGGTCTATACAAATGAGACAAAGTATCTGATTTTGTGGAGTCATGCCACATCTTGATACTCGTCATTAGCACTTAAACCAACCTATTTTTACTGCGGCTGACATCTGTGGATATATATATATATAGGATGAAGTTGACTGGCAAAGGCATCCGAAAGCTAATAAGGTATTACTGTAAGCCCTTTCAAAGGAACGAACCCAATTTCAATTCTATGGTGAAATCATGATGAACGGCGCAGTAAAATAGGTTGGTTAAAGTGCTAATAACATGAGTATCAAGATGTGGCATGACTCTACAAAATCAGATACTTTATCTCATCTGTGTCGGCCATATTGTCACAGGAACACTTGGTCAAGCAAAAACATGATTTTTTGGTTTCATGCAACATAAAACCAAAGAAAATAAATATCACGAATACTTACAATAACTATCAGAAATTGACTGATTTAATGTATCGTTTCCATACCTATGGAGCAGTTGTATCCAGAACTTCCGCACAGATATTTCAAGTAATGTGGAAGTTCACACAATGAGGTTTTCAGCTGATTTGACTTACACGGTTTTAAGAACATATGTTTGTGACTAAAATTTATTCGTAATCATGAAAAGGCATCTTGTATTGTTGTGAAGTATAACGGGTGAATGGCGCGTTCGAAATGCAAACCATTCCAATTATTTTCGTCATATCTAAAGGGAAAACTTGAGCGATGCAGTAGAATGTAGTTTCATGTCAAATTTGTTTATTTGATGTAGCGCAAAGTGGTAGTATTATCTACTGTATCATTATTTCGAGTAAACAAGCAAGTTTAGCCGAGAAGTGCACCATATCTCTTGAATATAGAAGCATATTATTATTACTATATATTATCATTAATTTTTTATCATTGTTTAATCCAACAGGGATACTCCTACTTCACATGTTGGGAACACTTGTAACAGTCAGTTTGTATCAAAATCTATTCCATCTGTCTCTTCATTTCCAAGTTATGCAAGGGATGAATGTATTCGATCTATGCAGACTAACGGTACACCACTTCCACCCATTCCACCTCCAATCTCTGTATCCATTGACGCTTTATCATCATGATACTGCATATCATTTTTGTTGTTTTTATGCGAATAATTCCATTTCATCTTGTGATATGTAAATGTTTTACAAGAGGATATATTTGTTTGTCAACTTTTGGTATTCATCATCTTTATGTATCGTTTAGTGGGGAACAGAATAATCTTCTTAGTCTTAGGTAATATATACATATCCATGCAGTAATTTTTTACAAGTAACTGTTATCATCTATTCTTTTTTCCTTTTAAACTTTGAGGTGCGCCATCCATGCATAACCACCTCATCTTTATATTTTATGTGTAAATTTTTTGATGGCTGTGAACTGTTTACTTAAGAATGCAAATTAGTTTATATTGATGACGTATTTGATTTATAATTGAGTAAAGCATATAGTCTTAGTTCCGCTATTTTAGGTACTCAATTCTCATTTTTTAGAATTATTGGTTCAAGCTTAGTCTTATGTGTCACAGTTTGAATGGGCAAACTTGATTGTTTATCATCGCCTAGTGTAGGAACTTGTTTTCTTACTCAGTATAAACCTAATCATATGACCGAAGTCAAGTTGGAAAACATGGAAAGGCTACAGATCGTCCGTCATATTTCTTTGTAACATTTTTTATCATGCCGAAGAACCAACCACTAAGTAAGCAATATTGACGTTTAGCACAAAGTTACTGACTAGCGAGCGAAATGAAAGCTTAAATCAGTAATTGACATTATCTAACTCAAGTTTATTCATTGAAGTGTATTAATGTTGGATATCGGCTAAGAGTGAAATACAGGACTCGCGTTTCGTCTTACATGGGACTCAGCTGAATGTACCTTTCTCGCAGTGAACCATGTTGCTCCCGCTAAGACTCCACTAAACTGTGGCAAGAAAATCTATTCCTTCACACAAACAACTAGATCTTATCCCATTTTTATCGATTAGTTTACGTGGAAAGGATGGCTGATTACAACTGTCTGGTGGTTCTGATAATTGTCCTTGTGACACTACAATTTGGTTCATACTACAGGTAATGTATGCATTGCGTTGACATGCTAAATGAAACCAATAATTGGAGACTGAGTGGTATAGCTTAGTCGTAGGTGTATTAGTAGCTTTTTTTCCGTATTATTCATGATGTCAAATTTCTTCGTTTATTTTATCTCCTTTTAATGATTTTGTAGGTTCGTATGACTTTTCATCACATTATTTTTTCCAGTATCCTACCTTATATGCTAAATTGAGGCTTGATGAATTGAACAGGTATACAAGACTGTTGGTGACGTCGGTATACGCTTGTTTGTAGACAACTATATTGTCGTCAATCCTAATCGTTTATCTTTGACACCACTCTTTCTCTTGTCGGTATGTATAGTGTCAAGTATTAAAATTTCGTCATGAAAGTAAATGGTATGATGCTCAATGTTCCGCTTTGTGAGAGAAAAAATAAGTGATAAGTATGATTGCCAGCCGTAATATAACAACTAATAGTCGATTAGGTAATGCTTAATTAGTGGAACGACTTCTCGATGTCTGAATATTGTATACTAACTCTAAAATAAGTACTCACTTTAAGGGATGATGAATGTCAATTGGTCTAGATTTTCTTAATTATTTTTTAGCGTACACGTTAGTAGGTAGTCATCTATTCAAGGTTCCACTCTGCTTGCTTTCAGCTCTCTTTAGGTATATCTAACTAACAAATTGGTTAAAGTAAATGAATGCTAACATGTAATGGAGTAGATTTTAAGGTGTCATAACATAGCACATGTGTGATGATTGAATGAACAAGTAATTTGTTTTTATTTTAGTTTGTCACATGATAGATGTTCATGTACGAACAACTTATTAACACAAACTTAAGACTAAGTTATTCTTAGTGATTAGAGGAAATTGTATCGAAAAAAAATCTTAAAATGATTTTCCAGTACGGTGATTCAACACCTAGTTTGGGGATATTGAAATGAAATGCTTCACATATGTACGCAATGTCGGGTGAAAATTAAAAACAGACAATTCAGTGATAAGAGCATGGGTTTGCAAACACTTAACATAGACCTACAGAGCTCAGCAACTAAACCGAAGGAGTTTCGTACTTACGTCAACCTAAATGTCTGGGATGTGTGTTTTGCATGCGAACTTACCATTTATCTCGACGGATAGTGTTAGCTGCAGTAGAACTAGGTTAGAAAGTAATTAGGGTAACTAGACCAACAAATATAATGGATCTGACTTTATTTAAGCCATGCAAGTTGCGTGATAATAGTCCTCAAGACAAGAGGAATCAGTGATCGAATAACTTAGGGAACGTCAAATCAACCAGTGCATGTACTCTTTACCTGCAAAACTGGTATACTCTACTTACCTTCATTGATTTCTTCCCTCATTTACTCTTTTTTTATATCCTGATGTCGATGTGTTTCTGTCTATTCCTTTCTGCGGTACCACCGAGTGTGACGACTAATTCAGATATGTTTTTTCATTTTACCTATCATAAATGCTTTCGATCAGCGTTAATGCGAAGCAAAGAATATATGAACTTTGTACAACACCAATATCAAGTAATTAAATATTTTAAACTACATAGCTACCGGAATAAGTAAAGGCTGCTTTCATTTTTAAAAGACCAACTTAAAATTAATGTGAACCTAACTTTTAAGATATATTCTGTTTCAAACATCAATCTTATTTTCACTGCTTCTTATTGTTTGCATTGTGAGGTTCAACAGATATAAATCACTAACCTTATGCCTACAAGTATACAGATAACGGAAAGGTCCTTTCGAACCACATTTGTGGAGTTTTAGTTCCCGCGCTTCGTCCCATTTGGAACTCGCCAGCTGCACGTACCTGCACCTCACTGAGTGGTGTTGTTCCCACTGAGACTCGAACCTCTTACCCAGTGCTTCAAACGCCAAGGTGTTATTTACTATGCCACGGAGAAACGACAACCACTTCTTGTACAACGTGTAGTAGTTATTACTCTTTATTGACATACTTATTACTCTCCGTTGTTGATTGGATCGAATTGTCCGACCTCTATTGGCATATGGGCTCCTATGCGGATTCCTCGATATTGCCTGAATGTTAATTACGGTATTTCGGTTGTCCTTAATGATATGGAGTGGAAGTTCAGATATCTGTTAAAATGGGGAGATTTTCTGTATATGTTAGTATCTGCTCGTTTTTATTTTACTTTGAATTTCATCAGAGCTAATTCTCCTCGTCCATTTCCTAACTAGAAAGTTAAATGAGTCCTTAATTATGATATTTTCCAACTTCACCATTCATGCGTCCACGCTTAGTGGTAGATTAAAATGCACTCAGTAACCAAGAGGTCGAACAATTCGATCCAATAAAACAACGGAGAATAACAAGTATATCAATAAATAGTATTAACTACTATCCGTTGTACAAGAAGCGGCCATCGTCCCTCCGTGGCATAGTGGGTAACGCCTTGGTGTTTGAAGTGCTGGGTGCGAGGTTCGAGTCTCAGTGGGGACAACAACACTCATTGGGATGCAAGTATATGCAGCTGAAGAGTCCCAAACAGAACGAAACGCTCACCCTGGATCCCTCTGTTAGCCATAACCAAATAAATTATCGTAACGAATATCGAGGCATCCACATAGGAGCCCATATGCCAACTGAGGTCAAACAATTAGATTCAGTAAAACAACAGAGAATCACAAGTATGTCAATAAACAGTTTTAGTTTCCGCTAAATTTACCGTAGAAGTTTTTGGGTGATGATCACGCTACGTCATGAACTGACAGAAGTTGAAAATATGAACCACTGGATTCCGACCCAGCGGCTCAACGGTAGCGTGCTGGCCATAGAAAATGAACGTTCTGGGTTCAATCTCTGGAGGCCTGGGTCATGGGTGCGCACTGCTCAAGAGTCACATACTATTGGGATGAAACAGCTGTCCACTGCTCCCAGTTTTCCAATGTTCCTCCAACTGATATCAATCCATGATGAGTATCAACTTGAAAAATCTTTTTTCTGTTATTCCATTTTCGTCTGTTTATTAGAAATATCACACAGTGAAACAGTAGCATTTATTGGATAACCCACAAACCAACAAACTCATTTAGAAACAAGCTTTGTAGGTTCAAAGATCCTATCGATACAATTAAGCAAAATAATCTGGTTTACCAGATTCCTTGCAGTGATTGCGAGGTCAAGTACATTGGTCAAAGCAGTCGACCAGGGTCGATTAGAATAACAGAGCACAAAAACTTAGCTAAATCAAGATCAGTAGATCCTAATAAGATAAGAAATCTAGAGAAAACTTGGCTATAGCTCTACATGCGATGACACAATCACACATTAGGGTGGGATAGGGTGACAGTTTTGAAAACTTAGTAGGGTGGAGGGATTGGTAACCGAATCTTTGTTTACTGAATCAACACCAAACACATGCAATCGAAATGATGCTGCACGTGTCGCAGATATATGGAAAGTTCTAATACCCTTGTCATCACAGAGAAGGAGAGGAAACTAGGAATATATAAAGACCGTCTAGAAGTTGTGGAGTTACCTGATATGAATATGGACAATGAATTATGTCCGAAACGTTATCCAGTAAATGCTACTGTTTCACTGTGTGATATTTCTAATAAACAGACTAAAATGGAATTACACTCGACCACAGTGCCCAAGTTTTACACTTATACTTTTTTCTGTTAGTAATGTGCTTATTTGAATTAGATCAAATTTTACCTTTTTGTATAGAATGTAAATTTATATCAGATTCATTTCTACACTGTTTGCTTACTTAGATTGACAAACATTCATAAGATTATGTGGATTAAATGAGAATTCCTTCTCTTCTTAAAACTTAACCCTGTTTAATTCTCCATTTTGTACGCTCCGCAACATACCAATTCTCATATATATATAATTTGATGACATTCTAGACAAATAAAGAATGCATATATCTTTCGAATATAGCCAAAAGTGAGACTCCTAGCTACTGCATTTATAATTAAACCATCTCAATAGTATCCGCAGAAGTTGATTGATGTCTTATTAATGTTCGGATTCTGTTTATGAAGGTTGGCATGTCATTGGCTAGTGTTTCTTAAAGATATAGACGGGTAAGTCGTCCTAAATCTTCATCATGCTCTTCAATCTTCATGTATTATACTGGATGATTTTCAGTTAGTCCACTACTGACCAGCGTGAACGTGGATGATGAATCATTTTAACTGACTATTCCTCTCTCTCAGCTTTTGCATTTCTCTATGAAATAAATCGTCTATTCTTAGTTTTGTCTTCTGTGTGTAATGTAGAACGCAATATTCTCATTTCTTTAAGACAGTTTCTCTCATTTATTATCCCATCAGTTTTGCAACAAAATAACAGAACAAAAAACACAGAATCTAGTGGTAAGATATTTCATCTAT